CTGCTGCTGCTGCTGCTGCTGCTGCTGCTGCTGCTGCTGCTGCTGCTGCCAAGGAGTGCCATCTCAAGCCCCTCACTGTGGCCAGCCACCCCAGCACCCCAGTGCAAAGCCCCCGCTGCCCTGTACTCTGCCCTGCCACCCTGGGCTTGCTGGCCCCTCCAGCCTCAGCTTACTTTCACTGTCTTCCTCCCGCTGCTGATGAGGTGCACCTGGCCTGGCTCTATGCGAGGTAGCTGCTGGCTTCACCAGGCCTCTTTCCTGAGGCCGCTTGCCCTTCTTGAGATGCTTCGGAAAGCTTCTGAGGCCTTCTAAAACCTGGCAAGAAGGCCGCACCTGCCATTCTCCAAATCGTGCAGGCCATTGTCACTATGCTTTGGAAGGCCTCAGAAGCCTTCTGAAGGCTTTCCTAAGCATCGCAAGAACAGCCCAAACAATTCGGAGAACGGCAGGTGTGGCCTTCTTGCCAGGTTTTAGAAGGCCTCAGAAGCCTTCCAAAGCATCATGAGCAGCCTCAGGAAGAAGGCCTGGTGTAGCTCAAGGAGTATCTGTATTATACATGTGTAGATCAAAATATGAGCAAGTAGATATTGCTGAGATAGTGATACAGCTTTATAAAGTTAACTGTGATGGGTAGATGATACATTCTAAACTTTTGTACTGAAGTAAAACACATTTTCTTCAGTTTGAGGTCCATGATTACTTTTGCAGCCATTCTTCACTAGGGTCAAAGTTTGCTTCTGAGCATGGTTGCAGGATAATCCATTAGCCAGCCTCCCTTATGACTGCATGACAATGTAAACAGCCATCTGCTGCCTAGCAGCAAGGATGAGGAATATAAAGCGAGATTTCTGTTTAATGGAAAGGGCAGGAGGAAAAGGCACTGAGCTTAAGCCCAAGGGGATGTAAGATGTGGGCTGCAGTCTTAAGTGTCACAAGGCAATAAACTGTTTGAAATGACTTCAGCCCTTCTGAACAATAACGATTTCTAACTAACTGGATTGTACCGGGAAGCTCCAGTCAAGAGAGAAGCTTGAACAATTTGCAGATTTTAATTGGTTAAATTAACTTCTTAGGTTGCCGGCCTATTTTGTTGTTCCAATGACTGTTTCTGAAGAGAGCATTTTGCAGTATGATGGGAGAGGAATTCCAGTGAGTATATTTGTGGGCAAGCTTGAACAGACTTCTAACAAACATTTACTTATTTCTACAGAAGTATATATATGACTTCCTTTATTGCTACTAGATGATTTAGGTAACATCAAATGAGCGCAATACAGGCTGAGCACATTCAGATAAGAAAAACTGAATATTATGGCTTGCCTCACAAATTTATTGTTTCCTTCTGCATATACAAAGTTCTTATCACAGAGTCTGGAAAGTAGTATTAATGCATAAATGCAGTTAATGGAGCAGTTCAAACAGTCCTTTGATTTGGATGAGTGGAAATAAATTTTGTACTCCCTTCTTTTTTTGTTTAGGCAAACTAGCCTTTTTCATATCAAAACTGGTTGTTAACTAAGTGGGCTTTCTTCTGAGTTGGCACCCCCAGAAACCCTAATGACCTGCATGTGTTACATGTGTTAGGGGGAAAGCTGAAAGTGTGTTGGATGGGTGATATCTGTGATCTAGAAACCAGTTTCTTGTTTTTGTTTTTACAGTTTGAATTGCTAGACAGAAGGTTCTATGCTATTTTCTTCACAAAGGATGATATTGTAGGAGGAGAGCCATGTTAGTCTGTGATGGCAAAAATCAGGAAGAATCTGGTAGCACCTCTTCCAACCAACAAATTTTATTAAAAGGCATAAACTTGTGAGCTGCAGCTCTCTTCATCTGATGCATAGACTGATATTGGATTTAAATTGTGATGAGGGGAGTGGGAAGGGGAGGGAAGATAGGTTGGTTACGTAAGTGCAGGTTACATGTGAGACACATTACAAATACCTTATCAGTTAACAATTGTGATATGTTAAAAACCATTATGTTTGTTGAAACTTGAGATAGCCTGAAGCATTTTGATTTATGCCAATTCAGCTATTTCTCATTCAGTGGTGCTTTTAAAGTGCCATTTTTCCAAAACAAAAAAGATTACGGAAATCCTAGCAGCTGGTACAGTTACATCAATTCTGAATGCAAATAGGAAATCCAGATAGGGCACACGGCTAGATGTAATGGGGAAGAAGTATGAGACCATATTAAGATAATCCAAATCGTTGTTTGAAGGATTATCTAAACTGACTCATCCACCTTTATATTAACTGTTCTTCAGTTATATTAACTGAATTCATGCATTCTGGAGTAATGGAATACTCTTAAGTTGTGCTCTATGATGCTTGTACTACTCCATAGCAAAATGAATGTCCCTCATGCATAACTTAATCACAACATGTAAATATGTACTGCAGATTTGGTGTTGGTCTTGCCATAATGGTGCTGCTCTCCTCAAGATGTCAACTTTTGCCAAAGAACAAGATGACAACACTTCCCAGCTGCACAAACTATTCTTGGATGGGTTAGTAATAGTTCTGTTTCAGCATAGCACATTTGGATTTTCAGCTGCGATAACTCTAAGAATACTTAATTCCTAATGACAAGCTGATCTTCCCTCCACTGATAATATACTAGACATCTGTTCCTTCTCTGGATCACTGTTCTGGCTGGTCTGGCAGTTTTCTGAAAGCAAATCTTCTGGAACAGGAAGCCTTGCATGGTGTTCTGAATGCTGCAGAAGACTGCTAGACCACTCATGGGATAGCTGGATCAGTGTGGTCACAGGGAGTTCCCCAGGACTTCCTCTTTCTGAAACTGCGTATTTTGTCAACCCTATAATATCCCTTTATAGTCTAATTCCCCATTACCTTAAGTCACAAATTCTTGGGCAGCAGGGAAACAAAGCTCTTCAGGAAATATTTTATGTGTAAATATCAATATAAGTTAGACCACAGTATTGATGAACAGCTTGTTAACTGATCTAGCTAAGAAAAGCAGGTCTAAAAGCACAATCAGGCTTGAAGCTGCTTTGAGGCTCAGATGAGAAAAGGTATAAAAATACATGTATTAACACCCTAACCCTTTAGTTTTATTAATAGTATTATTAAAGCTATAAAACATTCCAAAAAGTAATAATACAGTAAATGGCAACTGCAAGAAAGGCATTGGAAATGCAACCATATACAGCAAATATTTTCTGTTAGAAATTCTCTGCTATTCATACATGCTTAATACTCCAGGAAGGTTTAAGTTTCTTCACAATAAGATACGTTTTACCTATATCAATGCAGAGAAGGAGGTCAGGAAGATTGGCACTCATGGATTCTGTGTTATCTGCAATAAGCCTATATGCTAACCAAAGAATCCCAAAAGCAGAAATGTTGTTGCCCTACTTGAGGTTGTGTGAAATCATTGAAATCGAGACTTGGCAGTCTCACTATATTTGAGACATTTACAAAAAGCTAGCAGTTTCCATAGCACCTATTGTTCCCAAAGTTTGTTTATTTATTTATTCATCATATTAATATAGCTGCCGATCTCACACAAGGTGACTCTGGGTGGCGTACAACAATTAAAAAGAATAAATACGTAAAATTTTTTAAAAATTAAAAAAATCTGTAAAAAAAAAGTTGCTAGTTTCTGCCCTTTTGATTCCTGTTCTCAGAGACTACTGAATGCATTCTACCGCATTCTGAGCATTGTTAATCTGTTCTGTTTAGAATGTATAAGACAGTCGATAAGCCTCCATATGAAGCCTTGAAAATTGAAGACCTTTCAAGCAGCCTCCCATCTTTGCAAGAAATCCAAATTGCATATACTAGATTTAAACAGCTGTTTTTAATAGGTAAGTAGAAACCATATTGGAAAGTTGTGTATGTCCTGTCTATTTTACAACTCTAGTGTGGAAAAAAAAGAAGACATAAAACCTAGAACTGCTATTTACTATCGATATTTGAAAGACTTGTTTTTTTAAAAAAAATTATATGTTTGCAAATGCAAGTCACATCTTAAACCAGGAATCAGTGGATCATTTTCCAAAAGAGCCAGATCTCGTTGTCTTCTCTGCTTTTTACTGCTTTTGTAAACTGCTTTGTAAATTTATATTCCAGTAAGAACTGATAAAATGTTAATGCTAAACAGTATTTTAGGGTTTTTTATTGTTTCGGCTTTTTTTTTCTACTTCCATTCTTCTACTTTTTGTTTCAGAAGGTTTTTTTAGTCTTCTGATTGGAATTAAACGTTCAGTTTTTAAATTGTATGCCTTTCTATAGCTGTCCATTCTTTTGAATTGCATTGAAGCATTGTTTAAATGCAAAGTAAAAAAAAAAATTCTCTGCACAGACTACTTGGGTTCTGATGCAAAATATATTTTATATTTAACATAATCATTAATATGTCTCTGAATCTTTCTACTTCATTGTATATTTTGTATGTAAATAGATAAAATTATTGTCTTTTTTTCCCCCCAGATAACAGTGTAGATTTCTGGGATACTGATGTAAAATGGTTTTCATTGTTGGAGAGTACAAATTGGCTAGAAATCATAAGGTAGGTTAACTTCCTAAGTTGTGTTATCTAGGCATACTTAGGAAAGCTTAAGCAAACCATCTAGTCTTTAAGATAATATGGGACTGCATGATGTATCCACAGATTTTAATACAGATTTCATTTTGAGATACAAGCTTTTGTCCAAGATCCTTGAGCAACATCATGATCCTACTTGATTCCAAAACATAATTATGCCTTTCCACTTCCACTTTCCAGGGATATATTAAAGCTCTTATTGTCCATGTTCTTTCAGGCGATGTCTGAGAAAAACAATAGATATTATTGAATTGCTAGAAGCCCAGAGCACAAATGTTCTTCTTCAAGGTAAGTCCAGGAAAACATGTTTTTTTTTCCTTGTACTTTCTACCCAGCTATTTGTAAGTAGATGAAATAAAATATAGTTCTGAACTCTTTAATTCATGAACTGCTTGCCAGTAAAATCTTTCTTTAAATTACATATATTTAAAACAACTTAAACTTGCCAGTTTTCTGACACTGGATGCATGTAACCTCAAACTGAAAATTTGTTTGAAGAAGCAAAATTAAATAGTTCAAAACATACTGCTGGATCAAATGTTCATTTAATCCCTAAAATATATTCAGAACATCACATTTTCAAATTGTTTTATTTTGGCATACTATATACTTGAACCACAATCTAACTGTGCTTCAACTGTGCTATCAGTTGGAATACCCCCTTCCAAATAATTCAAAGGAAAACCAATATACATATTAGCCAAATGAACTGTATTAGGACTGCTTATGACAATTTACAATATTTGACTGGAATCTCTTTAAATTATAAAGCAGCCAACATTGAAGGTACATGTTGGGGTGTTCATCACTCAGTTGTTTGTAACTGTTGTTTGAATGGCCTATATGTCTGTATAAATAAATAAATACACTTTAATTCCTTCAATTTCTAAGGGATAATGCATGGGTTGTAATTTTGTAGTCTTTTGAAAGAAATAGGATTTTATCATGTTAACTGAAAGATATGCAAATTGTTTGTATGGATGGATGCATGCATGATGAACTTGCAGTGATGCATGAAGAATTAAGCTTTGTAACACAAAATTAACATTTTTTCTTAAAAATTGATTGGTCACTGTTAGATTATTAACCACACCCACCCACATCTTTTGTGTTTCATTGGATGCTGTAACTATTTTTCCTGCAGATCTTCTAAGATAGATAGATAGATAGAATATTTTTAAAAATAATACATGCATCAATAGTATGTGTTTTGAAATTAGTTCTAAGTACAAACTATTTTGTGTCGTGTGTAAGTGCTAGAAAGATAGGGTGTAATTCAAGCTATTACTCTGGATCAGTTCATCCAAATGGATATCTGCCTTCTCTGTGTTTCATCTCATTTGCCACCAGTTCATTACTACACCCAAAGCAGGGGTTAAAATAGCTAAAATAAAATACAGGTAGTCCTCAGTTAATGACGGCAATTGGACTGGAATTACTATTGCTAAATTATGTAGTTGTAAAGTGTGACATCACATGACCACCACTTAGCGACAGCAGTTCCGGCACTCCTGGTTGCCATTGTTAAGCAAATTACTGCAGGTTGTTAAGCGAGGACATCATGTGGTTGCCATTTGCAACCCCCTGCTGGCTTCCCCATTGACTTTGCTTGCCAGAAGCTGGCAAAGAAGGTTGCAAATGGTAACTGCAGAATGGTGAGATATAATCACAAGCTGGGCACCAAGCACCCAAATCATAATCATGTGACTGCAGGGCCGTGCAATGGCCGGAACCCTAAGGACTGGTCATAAAGTACCACTTGTTCAGTACTGTCACAAGTTTGAACAGCCACTGAATGAGTGGTCGTAACCAAGGACCACCTGTAGCTACAAAACTAAAATAGCCTTTTCTGTATTCAGCTTCTTAAAATTCTGATGTCCGTATAGATCAAACCTCTGGAGAGCTTTCATGGCAGTTTCATGTAACATTGAATAGCATAAATGCTTGACCAATGCATTGCTGCAAAGGAGTTGAGCAGTAGTATCCAATATCACCTTCTGGAAATGATCTTTCAAGTAGGAGTAGTAACTCTGCCAACACTACTTCTCATATCCAACCCAAACTGTCTGTCTAGAAGAATCTGTTAGTTATATTCATTCTGGTTTATAATCCATAGGCTGATTCAGTGTAATCTTTTCCAAAAATATGCCTAAAACTTGATAGAAACAGATCTATTTAACCAGTTTTATCAAAGAGTGTCTGAACATGCCTGGCCTTTGCTTTCTTGATCATCTTACTGAAGAAAAGTAGGCAGCTAATTATGGTTGTTTGTTTTAACTGCTTTCAAGCTTAAGTTCTTTCAGAACAGTGGGATTATGACTACCTGTAAACAAGTTCTAATCATGTTCCACTGTTACTCTTATTGATTCTGAATAATTCATACTTTTCCTATTAAGCTATAATTTATAAACCAGAATTTAAAGAATTTGCATTCTTTTTTCAGAGCATGTCAAGCACTTGCATGCAGAAATCCTAATGAGATTCCTTTCTTTATCCCTCAGTTTCAGAATTCAGTTATACTAAGTTCTCTACATCAAGGTCTACATTTCTGCCAATATCACGTATGCCTTTCTCAGTCCCTTGCCTTAGGAAGAGCATCTGTAGTGTTTGAAAATGGAAAACAGCTTTGAAAAGTTGACTGGCATACCCTCAAAGGGTACATTTGTTGCTGTTATTCTAATGAAAATTTAAGATTTGACAGAAAATATCCCCTCTTGTACAAATGGTACTTTTTTCCAACTGTCCTATTCCTTTTAGGAGATTTTATATTCAAAAATTGAAAATATATGCATCATGTCATGCTTTTATCCCATTCCTAAGAGAGGACTGAGCCCATTTGTTCCATTTATCTTTTTTTCCCAAATGTAATACAGTGGAACCTCGGTTTACGAACTTAATTCGTTCCGTGACTCTGGCCGCAACCCAAATTGGTTGCAACCCGCAGGAAATTTCCCCATAAGGTTCAATGTAATTACCGTTAATCCGTTCTGGCGTGGGGGCCAGGGAGGG